ATTTAAATACAGTGACACTTGTGCACTCGGCTGAAACGATGGATTATTATTTTTTTTTTTTTGATTATTTTGTTGAATATTATTTCTCGCACGAAGACAAGAAAAAAAAGAAGAAAATGTACGGGCGACATACTTTCACAAGGGGCAAATCACTACTGAAAAGACTGAAAGCACTGAAATCCACTAAAAACAACTGAAAAGTACTGAAAAGAACTGAAAAATATTTTCAGTACTTTTCAGTGTTTTTCAGTATCAAAATAGATCGGGGTTTTTGACAGTTGACATTTGTTTTGACAGATCTGCCATCTATTCATTTTTCTCCGCGAAAATTGATGCCATTTTCAGTACTTTCATATACTAATAATACATTGGGCACTGAAAAGTACTGAATTCAATTTTTCAGTAGTAATTCGCCCCTTGGACTTTCATGTTCACATGATTCGGTGTTTTTGTGCACACTGCACATGCTCTCTAGTTTCTTATTACATTTTTTTTCCATTGAGCACGTTACAAAAGACAGTTATTTGTTTTTATTGTAGCCAATTTTGCTTCAAGCATCCATGCTATTTCCTATATACTATGTGTAAAAATAATCGCCCACCGTGAGTTTCGAAGTTGGCAAAGACATGTGCACGTTCATCACCGTCAACAAACTCATTCACAAATCGTCTTCATTCCGTATGTCAACAACATAAGCAGTACAGCACACGGGCACACACTTTTTCTATTGCATTAGAGCTTCTTACACTGAAAATCGATTGGGATATCATATGAAGGCCAATGAAATCCGCTGGTAATACGATCCAACCAGAAAGAGTCAGCACACGATTTCCCATTCCACAATTCGTTCAAACGTCCATTCGTAAAAACATTTCATCAATTCAAGGTGTGTCTCTCTCTCTGTGTGTGTGTGCTTGTAGCGTGTGCCCACTTCTCGTGCACAGTAAAAACGTGTATCCAACCAACTGAATGAATTTATGAATTACGATATTATTATTACGCTGGGCATCATTGATATGCGTCATTTATGAAATTCGTCATTTCGTTTTTGTTCGTTGAAAGGCAATTTTCTTTTGATTTGATTTTTTTATTCGCCTCGTTCACATCAACCGCCAAAACGTTTACACGCCAAACATTCTGACGACGCCATTCATCGACGATCCTTCAAACGAACTTCACGAGGAAATTCAATATTTGACGAATTGTTCTACAAACATTTTCGAGAGACAGTGAAAAAATAAGTCATTCAATTTAATTACCTCTGAAACATACTCTTCTTGTTTTTCTTTTCGCTGAAAAACGAATTGCGTTAACGTATCAAAGAGAAAAGATCTTAGAATTTTGGTCAACATTTTATTTCTCTTTCCTTTTTTTTCCATTTAGTCATTAGAAGCACCGAGTGTCGAATGATTCACCCAGATTCATCATAGTGTTTTTGGTAAACATTGGGAAATCTCAGCTGTCGATTTGGTCCGTCTGAGAATTGGATGAAATAAAATGGGATAGAAGAGGATGTGCGTGTGTGTGTGTGTGTGTGTCTTTGCTTGAGGGCGAATGGCTTGCAACGAAATATTTTCAAATATGGCAAATATTTTGAATATTGAATCATGATTCGTTCACAGAATTCATCTTGATATTTCAAACATTTCGCAAATTTGAAAATTGAGAGGAAAATTTCAAACTGAAATCGTCAAAACTTTCAGAAATGTAGCTGAAATATGCCTTGAATATATGAAATATCCCAAATATTCCAAATATATGAAATATGATGGAATATGACTGAAAATAAAGAAATAAATGAAAATATTGCCAGGCGTCGCAAGCCTTTCGGTTGAGAGAGAGAGAGAGAGAGAGATGGGGAGGGAGAGGGAAAAAGAGAAAGGGTGTCTAAAAAGATGCATGGTAATTACAAGCTAAAGCATCTGCGTTCTGCAACCAAAATGATGCACTGTTATCATGCGCTCCTTCATTTCACACACGTTCATTAAAATCTCAGCGATGCGCGTTACCAGAATTTTGGCTGGTACACAGCACATTTCACCAGTTGCGACTTCGGTCATATATTCGTTGATGCGAGTATAGTGTGAGTACGGCTTACCAGTTAGAACGTGTGTACATAAGGCGCGAACTAAGACGACAATTCACTTCGCAAAAATTCGACCGCTTCGCACACACGTTGTAACTGGTAAACCGTACACAGGAGCCACAGTTTGCTTTGATTCGCATGAACGAATGTATGACCGAAGTAGCGAATGGTGAAATGTACTGTGTACCAGCCGATCAACTGGTGACGTGCGTCGCTGAGATGTTTGTTGCACCGCGAATCAACACAGTGGTCATGTATCATTGAGTCAAAACATCGAACAACAAGTCAAATAACATGAAATAAAACTCAATTCAGAATTGAGTATTCTGAATTAAAAGCTACAAGTTTGTGTTGCGTCCGTTGTGTATGCAATACTCTGTTTTTTTGGCTCTCAAAGAAGCATATTGAGGCAATATTAAAAATGAAAAGTCCAACCGATAAACACGGTGTATCGCGTTTAATGGGTTTATTCAAGTGGTTGGCAAAATTTATCCCAAATCTTTCCAAATTTACAGCGGAATTGCGTTTATTATCGGGAAAAAACATTCCATTTGAATGGAATGAGAAACATGAAGCTGAATTTGATCATTTAAAGAAGATTATCACATCGGATCCAGTTCTAAAGCCATTCGACCCAGAAAAACCTATCGTCATTCAAACGGACGCATCAAAAGATGGATTGGGTTCGGGTTTGGTTCAAGAAGAACATCCAGTTGCTTTTGCATCCAGAACTCTTAGTAAATCTGAACAGAGATGGGCACAAATTGAAAAAGAGCTTTTGGCCGTGGTATTTGCTTGTGAACGTTTCAAAAATCTCATTCATGGACATAGGTTCATTGTGGAAAGTGATCACAAACCACTTGAAACATTGGATTTGCGTGATATTGATAGTGTTACGCCAAGATTACAGCGCATGTTCATGAGATTGCTCAAATTTCCGGGATTAAAAATAGTCTATAAGCCGGGAAAACTTATGTTATTAGCTGATTGTTTGTCTCGTGCACAATTGGACACGCATGAGGAAGAAACAGATTTGAGTGCAGTCATTCATGCTGTATGTGTGTCAAAGGACAATTATGATTATTATAGACAGATATTAGAATCGGATGAAGACTTCAAACGCGTATGCAATTATGTAAGAATTGGTTGGCCAGATTACCGATCGTTGAATGATTTTTGTCGGACATTTCACAAATTGAAATCTGAATTACATTTTGAAAATGGACTTTTATTTCGAAATCACAGATTAGTAATTCCAAAGAAATTACAAGGGAAAATGGCAAGGTGGTTACATGAACCCCATCTTGGGATTGAAAAAACACTTGCTAGGGCAAGAATGTTGTACTTTTGGCCTGGAATGAACACACAAATCAAAGAAATGATTGCGTCATTTGGCATTTGTGAGAAATTCAAACGGAATAATCAAAAGGAACCATTGGTTCAAGAAATTAACCCAAAATATTCATATCACATTGTATCGGTGGATTTGTTCGAATATGCTGGTCGTGATTTTATTTCAATTTTTGATGCATATTCAAATTATTTGGTGGCAACTAGAGTAAACAATAAAACCTCTGCACATATTATTAGTGTATTTTGTTCCATATTCAATAAAATTGGCTACCCATCGATAATTAAAAGTGATAATGTTCCATTCAATTCAGCTGAGTTCGAAAAATTTTCACGGAATTTTAATGTTCAATTTAAATATTCCAGTCCGAGATATCCACAAAGTAATGGTTTAGCCGAAAGGGGAGTAGCAATTGCAAAGAATATTTTGAAGCGTTGCTATGAAGCAAATGAAGTGGACCAATTTCAATACAGAATATTGGAATACAATACCACACCTGTGGCAAGCATGCATCTTACTCCATCGGAATTATTTTTCGGCAGATTGGTCAAAACAAAATTGCCAGTATCGGAACAACTGCTTGTTAGAAACAACATGGATGAGGGGATTATTCAAAAAAGGATCCAAAATAAAAAAGAAAGGCAAAAATATTATTATGATCGAAACGTAAAGTCGTTGCCATCATTAAGATTGGGGGACTTGGTGATTTTCAAGAAAAATGGAAAGGAGTGGCATTATGGAAAGATAGTTGGAATAGTAAATGAACGTTCATATATTATTAGGGATTCATTCGAAAATCATTTTAGACGTAATCGTAGATTTATTGCAAAAACTAGAAATGATGATTTTAGTGCTAGTGATTTATTATTCGAAGAAAATGTAAAATCGGGTCAATCTGATAATTTGCCAGAGATTCAAATTGTGAATCCAGTACCAGAAATAGTTGATAATACCAATGTTAATAATGATCGGATAATTGAAACTCCAGCAGATAATGTGAGTGCAGATGAATTGGATCTTTCAGTAAATGTGGAAAACAATTCCGCATCGGAATATGATACTGCTGAAGGTGAAGATTCAGAAGCAAGTTCAAGTAGCGATGGTGAAGTAAACGTTCAGCCTGACATTCGAGCTCCTAATATTCAGACAGAATATAGAACGCGTAGTGGTCGTGTTGTAAGACCGCCGCAAAGATTTGGCTATGATTAATATTGTAATAATTATAAGTGGTAGCCTAGTCCAAATTCATTGTAGTTGATAAATTAATTTAATTAAAAAAAAAAAAGAGAAAAGAAAATGCGTGTAATATGACATGTAAACGAGCCTTAAGCTTTGAATCTGACAACGCATACACTTGTCATGCAGATACACTTGTCAATGTCTTTTGACAGCTTTGAGTAGTTGAGCATCAACCATAGCCATGTACACACAACATAATATTGATTCATTAAAACCTAAATATTAGTATAATAAAATCATTGCGTTTTGATTATTTAATTAGACTATTACAGTATCCGATCACATTCAATTATGCAATAGCTCGGTTTGATGCATTTGAGTTACATAACGAACGGCACAACATCCTGTTTTCGACGAAAATTCTGTGCGGTTTTGATTTTATCGACCCTGACATTCCTGTCTGTCCAAAATACCTCTAAACTGACTGGTACTTTGTTTTTGTTATTATTTGTAGAGTGCGTCGCAGAAAAAAAAACAGATTGCCCCAATCAAAATAGAAACAGTTTTAATCGAAAAAAAAACAGAGAAAAAAAAACTTTTACGTGGCCGAATTAGATGGTTCTGAATTTGATTCGGCGGCCTGTCAAATGCACGATATGAAATTAATCCCGAAAATAATTGTATTGAAGCTCAACCACCGGCACAGACACCAACTTATCGCGTTACATAGGATTTTTTTTTGTTCGTTTGTAACAAAACATGACCTGACATGCCATTTAGCATAGCAGGTTACAGCAAAAGTGCGTATCTTTGCCGCTTCTAAATACATACCGTTCGTTTCGGTGTTTCTTATCACTTTTTCTCTAGTAATCACAAATATATGGTGTGTTTCATTTTCGAAATGATTATCTTGTCTGATGTGAGGCGATACGGTTTTTCGTCTACTTTTTGAACAAGCACAAATTTATGTGAGCCCATATCCATAGTGGTTTTCCTGTTAAATTGCCAATCTTTTTTATTGCGTTCATCCTTCATGTATGTGTCGGATATAATTTCCGTAATTTCCACAAAAAATAATGTGTGAGTATATACGGGCAATTTGTGGCCCAGTGTATCTAGCACCAAGGAAATTAAGATCATAATGGTGTGAGAGAGGCATGTTGAGCCATGTGTATTATGCCATTTATATTTCTTTTTTTTTTTGTTTCTAAATCTATTCTGGAGATTTGTTCGCTTCGAATGTAGGCAAACCAAATTCAAATATGTAATGCTTTTCCTACTTGCTTTTCTTCTTTCTTTCTTCGTTTTTTTTTCTTTTCTTCTTTCTATCTCGCTCTGTTCTACTCCCTATCTGCCTCCCAATATGTCGAATCCGACGGTCGCTCCCATGTGCATACAAAAACACACTTTCGCCATCTCTTTCTCTTTCTTTTCATTCATTTTGCAAACGATGCCCGCTAAGTGCTAAGACATTTTCGATTCTTTTTTATGCTTATTCGCCGCAAGAAAAATCGATTGATTTGGCATCGCGTCGACTTCGACTTCTTTAATTAGATCACATCAACTGGAATCAAAAAATGTGAACTGATGATAGAAAACAACATAAAAAACGATGAGAAGAATTTCAAAAGAAAGAAAATGAAGAGAATCAGACGAACAAAAGCTATTTTTCAACCTACGATTTTGATATTGATGCTATTTCGGCTCACTTCAACTCATTCAAAACTTTCGATAAATGCCAATACAGAGGACGGTGTCTGCTGTCGAATTTATGTGAAAAGCATAAATAGAGAGAGAGAGAGAGAGAGAGAGAGAGAGAGAGAGAGAGAGAGAGAGGTGCGTGCTGCCAATTTTTTATCTCCAATGATGATGCTTAAAGTAAAGTAAGTGGCTGATACAAAAACACAGAGAGTGGTGATCAAACCATATTCTAAATATATACACTTAGCCGGTTGTGTGATATGACCGCCATACCATCCGTTTGCATTAAATCGGATTTTTGTAGCATTCGATCCAACGGATTACGGCTTCTTACAATTCAATGGCGTTTGTCCTTTTGATCCCTTTCATCGTTGACAATGACTGTGTGAGAGACACGTTGCAATATGGGAACCAAATCTATTTACAAAAATACGTGAACGAACCAAATTAGACAGTAAGTCAATGGGTTATTTCATTTTCGACTCGGTTCAATTAAATAAGCGCGTGTGTGACAATAAATTCGTTCGTTGATCTCCTGAAACAAAAGCATTACAAAAAACGGCTGCATAAACTGCATGATGGAATTTTGCCGTCTCGATATAAATTTTGTATCGCTCACGTAAACATATTTATACTCATAACCTGAACGACATATATATATTTGTCTACGTGATGATGTTTGGCTTTTGACATTGACGAAAGAGAATTTATGCCAAATTTATGAGTTCATTTATTTAACATCGTGCACACAAAATTTCCGAATAAAAAGATAAAAGTTAAGAATCTGTTTGCAACGAGATGTGCATAAATGATTGGAGGTTGTGATTTATTTCTCTGAAAACTCGATGTTTTTTCTCTTCAAATAGACAAACAATTCGAAGTAAATTAAAAACGACAACGAGAATTAAATTTTCGAACGAGAAGAAGAACAAAAAAACAGAACAAACAAAACATTTGCATTATACATTTCAATTAAAACTTCATGAATTAAGGCGTCAGTCAAACGATTTATTAATGTCACCACACTTTTTCGTCGATGTAATTGCCGATAAATTGTGTTTCGCCCCAACCAGAACAAGAACAATGAAATGAATTTTGTTATCGTTGAAGATTGTGGCGCGAAGAATGCAACAAAACAAAACAAAACAAAACAAACAAAAAACATCAGTGTGAAAATGGAATGGTATTCCATCTGACAACGAGCACCCATGTCAAATTCATGGATACTTATAATTTGTAATTGCTGCTTTCGTCGAAATGGTATACAACCAGATAAAATGCTACTGAAATGCCGTGAAGAAATGGCAAACAATCAAAATGGATAAATTCATGTTCACAGAATCTCTGTTTTGTGTTTTTGCGGCTTAGAATTGTTTACATTTCGTGGAAATTTACGATATTGTTAATTACCGTGTGAGTGAGTGAGAGTGTGTGGTTTTTAAAATGGTGCCGAATGTGAGACGGTACGATAACGTAATGTTCGATACAATACGGCAGGAATGTTGGCCACCGATATCAATAATGTTTTTCTACTTCTTATTTGAGTTGTGCGAAAATTAAACGGAAGCGTTTCACACTTCATTGATCTCCTTTTTTTAGATTGATATTGGTAATTAAGTTTATAAATGGACTTTGACCATTGGCCAAATAAGTTTTAACAACATTTTCTTTTTCCATTCTACTGTTCGCATAGTTTATATAGTTGCCCGAGTCAAGTCACTGAATGTCCAATAAATGGATTAAAAACTTTATTTAATTGGGGTGGTCGAATTTTTTTTTTTTTTTTTTTCGTTTGGCATTGAATACTCCAAAAATGTGCGTCACATTCTATTCGAATGATAAACAACAACAAATGAATACCCATGATATTATGTATGTATATGGCTACGAAAAGTTAACACAATACACAACCATTGTTTTTTTTTTCATTTTGCAGGGAGATACAGAGAGGGAGGCGAATAGACTATAAAAAGACACATAAATTTCGTCCAAATGCGCATTTTCGTTTTATTTCACTGAATTTTTGAGCAGTTGATTTTCAGAGTAGATATGTTGAATTTATCAAATAAGTGCCTTGAATTCAGTTGAGAAGTCTCGACTTCATACGACATTGCAAAAAAGGGGTTTTCGTTGATCGATATTCTCTCTCTCTCTCTCTCTCTCTCTCTCTCTCTCTCTCTCTCTCTCTCTCTCTCTCTCTCTCTCTAATTCTCAAGCGGACGGAAATTGTGGTGCATAAGACACTGCTAGGAGTTTTTATCTCTATTTATACGAAATGGTTAAAATATACGGCGTATCGTAAACCATCCAAATTGTAACATAGTCTAAATTGTAACAATTGCACAAATAGACTAATTTTCTGCAAAACTTTGAAGGGTAACTGTTGGTTTTTATATCATATTTGAGAAGAACACGAAAAAATCTACCGATATGAATATATGAATTAATTGTATTTTTTTTTAGAAAAGTAGTTTATTTTGAGACTATGTTACAATTAGAACTATGTTACAATTTGGATGGTTTACGATATACGCGGGTTATATGTGAAATATGCACAAAATATACGGCGTTTATACGTGGTAATACGTATTTATATGAAATATTCGTTCAGAATTAGAAGCCCCTAGAGGCACTGTATAAAGCCAACGCTTGTCGCATGAGTAGCTTTAAAGTGCGGATAATATTGGAACTAACGCTCTAATTTGACACATAATACTGAAGCGCTGGCGTAATGTGAGTGTATTTAATATCAGACAAATTACCGCAAGTTTCTGATATTTGCCGTGGATGAATCTATGACGCTGTTGTACATCATTTTCGCTACAATTACAGGACGTTCTCAACGAACAAACGGAACATGTGGTTTATATTTCATCATAGATAAAAAACGGTTTTTACGAATGCTTCCTCATTTATGTTGCTCACTTTTTTCGCACACAATGTTTCGTCGATTGCAATACATGCGAAAAAGATCGTCTTGTTCTTGAAATCTCTTGAATTATATGGAAATGTTTTATCTCGTGAATATTCAAATCAATGCGTTGGCATCTGTATCATTTCAAGAATAAGGAGACGGGTGGAGAGGTTGGCTCTTTTTCCCACAATCTCGTACAAAATGGAATCCTAAAAAACAAACAAATTGCTTTAATACTCCTGAGGCATGAATGTTTGAAGGGTGCACCCATTTTGATAGTGATGATAGAATGTTGATGATGGTCGGGTAGGCCGAAATCTGGCGCAAAAGAAAACTTTGTCAATATTCAATAGTGTACTAATAAAATAAAGCTTGGTTGAATATGAATATCCATTTGAGAATCGGTCTTGGTTTGAATGACATCAGTCAATGGCGGATAGCTGCCGATATATGCTGAGCATAGAAACTCATAAATCTGAGCGCGCGTTGCTTGCTTACTCGCTCAGTCATATGTAAGGGGTCAGATTAGTTTCCTGAGTTTCTATGCTCAGCATATATCGGCAGCTATCCGCCATTGACTGAATGACATTTTCTATGTGTTCGTGGCACATTCTCTGCCGAAGGCCATTACTTTCGACCAATAATCATTTTCCAGTTTATTTGTTCCATTTTGCAATTCATTTGTTTTGATTACGTGATATACTCATATGATGCGGGACTTATACGGTTATAATTTTGTTATGATGAAAAAAAATACAACAATAAAGAAGCACGTAAAATACTAAATTAAGTTGCCACTTCAATGGATGAGCAAATATGAAGCTTATGGCGAAACGTGCAAATTTGATTATTTACCCCATTGTTTTTACGGT